AGGTATTGGCCCTGGATGAGGAAATCACTGAATTCAAACTGATAAGTCTGTGGATCATAGTGGTTTGTGAGATAATCAAATGGATGATTGCAGCCTGTGAGTTTCCTCACTGCTGCATATATATTTTTATTTTAAACTTTTTGGAAACTGGTGGTATAAATAGATGGAAAATAGAAGATGTCAGTTCTCACTAATGACTCTATGCAAGAATTCCATCGATGGTGATTAAAACTCCTAGTTTTAGAAGTCTTGAAGGAATTGTGAAGATCTATCTGAAGAAAGTTGGCAGTGCAGAGATAATTTCCCCACAATCACAAAACAAAATAGAGGTAGATTCCAAAAAATACAATAAACTTGCAAAATAACTGAATCAACTGCTGAATCGATTCTTTGTATTTAGAGAAAGGAAGCATAATATCTAGGAACGTGCATAAATTCCCTAGAAATGAACTTGGTTTTTATAGTTGACAGAGTTGTGTATTAGGGCCCGGGTACCTGATATGCTGGCTGGACTATTTCATGCTGCCTTGGAGACAAGTTGGAGAAACATTGGTGGTATTGCAGCAGTGAAGCGAATTTACATAACAGTTATATCAGCAAGTGTGGACTTTTACAGGATTCTAGTAGACCTGGAAAACATGGTGATAGAACTGAAAATACGTAACCTGGAAAAGAAAAATGTTTTGTTTTTCCCTCTTGGGCAGTACAGGCATGGCAACTGTACTCAAATATTTCTAATATCTCTGTCATTAATGAGATATTCCTTGTATCCCAAGTAGGATAATTTGGGATTAGGAAGGCAGAATTTCCTTCATACAAGGGAAACATTTCTGTCAATAAGTCTAATAGAAAGGACTCTGTTTTGAGGTAGGAAATTGACTTTACAGATGAGTTACTTCAGAGTCTGGATGCCTATCTCGTACATTGTCTAGTGGTTGCTCACAGTGAAGGGACCTTGGACAAGATAATTTCTTCAGGCCCACTCTAAACTTTTAGAAAGAAAACGAACATCTTTCTCTTTGTCATCATGGCGGAAGGAGCATATTATGTTTTGTCACACAGAAAAGTCTTTCATTTCTAAGTGCCCCGATTTCAAGATGGACCAGGAATTAGAACACCTTCTAAAAGCCTCAAATAATAAGAATTTTCTCAAAGCATTATATCATGATAAAAGCCACCAGAAAGAGGGAACATTTTGGTTTCTTCCTTAATAAGTAGCCAAACATATTTCTTGTTTAATTTTATTTTCTCATTTTTGAGACAGGCTCTCACTCTATCACCCAGGCTGGAATGCAGTGGCGTGATCGTGGTTCACTGCAGCCTCAACCTCTTTGGGCTTAGGCCATCCTCCCACCTCAGCCTCCCAATTAGCTGGGACTACAGGGGTGCACCAGCATACCCCACTAATTTTTTTTTTTCCGTAAAGTTTTGCCTTGTTGTTATTGCTTGTCTCAACCTCCCGGGCTCAAGCAATCTGCCTGCCTCGGCCTCCCAAAGTGCTGGGATTATAGGTGTGAGCAACTGCAACTGTCAACCCCATTTTTTTTTTTTTGGAGACAGAGTTTCGCTCTGTTGCCCAGGCTGGAGTGCGGTAGCACAATCTCTGCTCACTGCAACTTCCACCTCCCAGGTTCAAGTGATTCTCCTGCCTCAGCCTCCTGAGTGGCTGGAACTACAGGTGCCCACCACCACACCTGGCTAATTTTTGTATTTTTAGTAAAGGCAAGGTTTCACCATAATGGCCAGGCTGGTCTCAAACTCCTGACCTCAGATGATCCACCCACCTCTGCCTCCCAAAGTGTTGGGATTACAGGCGTGAGCCACTGCACCTGACCAAAATATTTCTTAAATGTATCCAATCCAATAGGAATTATGACCACTACATAATCATTTAAATCATGAATGTTGCATTTCTCTCATATTCTAGCAGCAGTTTGTTGAAAAACAGGATCCTTCTGTAAATATCAGTAAATACTTTCTTGGTGCTCAATGTGTTATCTTTTTCTTTTCTGGTCAGATTGTTGAAGGTCTTGATTCCTAGTTTAGAAAGTTGGTACATGTTGATCTTTTGGACTGTGTAGTCTATGTGAAGAAATACAGTTTATCCCACATCAGGATCATACATGCATTATAACTGAAATTGAATATTTGAGAAATGACACACTACCCACTAGTATAATACTCTAAAATTTTCAATTGAATTCAATCCTATTCATTAATAATTAAATACTGTTCATGCTACACTTATTTCACAGAATTTTCAATTTGAAAAACACTGCTCTAATCAATAGTCACTGAAAATTCAAGTAATGGCAGAATAAATGAGATAATTCAAATCTTGTCACTTAAGACATTTGATAAACTTGGTATAGAAAGATAATTTTTGCATTCTTATTGTATGAAAAGGCCTGGGGTTTGTGATATGTTTGCACATTCTTCTTGGTTCCTTTCTTCCTAGCTTTTCAGCCTCCTCTCCCTGTCTTCCCACAGAAAACCATACACTTCAGCAGCAGCCTCTCGAAACATGAAAGACTGTAAGAAAGATGAACAGATAGACTGCATTCTGTGTACCTTAAAGCTTTACAGCCGGAGAAGCACGTTTTAGCCTAAAGCTTGTCTGTTTATGAGCACATTCAGCTGACTGCCGTGATAATGAAATCGCCGATACACTGCGCAGAGCTGCTTGGGCAACCATTCTCTTACTATCAGGAAGGCGAACACACTTTGTAAGATCAAAGTGGACACCTCCTGGAAGTTACATTTATTACAAGAGGCTAAAGTGTCCACATTCCTAGAAATCAAAAAGACTTGAGGCAGAAAGATAGTAATATGCAATTGATGAATGCAGTTTCTGACAAGTCGGCAACCACCTAAGTTAGTGACAGAAACAAGAGGTACCTAGTTCTGAAAGTTACTAATTCTGCCAGCTCTGTGGTTAAAAGCAAGGCGCTTGATATTGTAATAGCCATAGGCAGGCTCAGCCTGACAGAAATTTCGACTGTCAGTGCAGGCTGAGGATACTTTTATAATTGTCCCTATTGCAGATTCCGCTGATAGCGTTTTGATCCCACTATTTCAGGAGAGCAGGACCTCTACTATCACAGTGCAATTAAAGTAAAGGTCATTATAGCCAGTCACTCTCACGGTATTTGGAAAGCCAGCATGGGTGATTTCTAGTCCTTAAAACATGGCACTTTCGCATGGTAGCGGCCGAACTGTGGCTCTTCTGCTGTGGGCTGGCACCTACTGACAGTTCTACTGTGGTTAAGGCCCCTTTGTACTCTTCTCCACATGCACATGTAAAATGTTTTAAACTTTATTTTCCTTTGTGTATCTAGTTTTTGAACTGACATATATGGTAGCAGTGAATTGATATGAGAAAGAAGTTAAAAAACTGTGAGTTCTTTATAAGTTGTTGCAATCTAAACAGGTTGCTGAAAACCTTTATTTCCTCATGAGATGAACATTGAAACTAATTTGTATTGTTAAAAAATGTTGTATATATTTATGGTGGACAACATGATGTTTTGAAATATGTACACATTGTAGAATGGCTAAATCAAGCTAATTAACATAAGTATCACCTCACACCCTTGTCCCTCGTCCCACTGTAAGCCCCTCTGTTGAGATTTTCAGATGGCTATCTTCAGACAAGTCTCAATAGCATCTCTCAGCTGAGTCCACTTCAAATGCTTATTAGAAACACTTTTGCTCAGATGACCGGAAAGCTTTTCTAGTAGTTTTGAATATCCGTGAAATTTTGGCCAACGCATTTGAGGAAGTAACAAAGGTACTTCATTATTTCTTTTCAAAAACCCTCCAGTAATTGGAGAGTCAAAAGAGGGTGAACTCCAGAAGCTCTGGGTATTTCAGGAGAGCGCTTCATTTTACAAAAAAAAAAACTAATGTCTTCCGAAATTCCTTTGCTTCCTCAGGAGTTCATTTTTCTATAGATTAGAAGTATAGGAAACATTTTCCTGATAATTATGAGATATTGATTGTAATTTAAACTGTTAGTGTCAGAGAAGTGGTTTCTGTACTCAGTAGCTTTTTACTGCAAACTTTTACAGCCCGTATTATTGATAAAAAGACATAATTGTTTTAACGCATTTTAAATGGACTCAGAGTGTACAAAGCCTTGATCACAGTCATTTTTCTTGTACTAAGAAAAATATATGTAATAGTTTTTAAATTATAATAATTTTAATGACATCAAAGGTACAGTATGAGGAACAGATTTGTAGTAATACCTTGGGCAATCTCTGGGCTAACTAGTGGAAAAAGTTCACTATTCACCATAAGTGGTCTTGATAATCTGTCAAACTAAACTATAAATATTTCTTCTTCTTCTTCTTTAAATGCACACTTCTCATGTCCACACTGAAAAAACGGGATGTTGTTTGGTAGAAATTAATCGTTAGATTATTGCTGTACGTTCTTCTCTGGGCAGCATGTACTTAAATTAGGGACAGGATTATCAAAGAAAATGGACTCTGGAAATGTCACTCTGATTGAATTCCCCAAGTTTCAGTCGTGGGAACATCTGCTAAGGAGTACTCTTCCATTCTAAGTAGACAATTTCCAACAGGGTGTAGAAAGTAGGCTTAAACACCGGTTCATATTTATATCCATTTCTAATGAAATAAAAATAAATTACTTATTTTCAGTAATCCTTTAGGGAAAAGTCAAAAGAACAGAGAGAACTGAAAATAAGAAAGTGTCTGAGAAGGGACATGTATTTTCTGTTTATGCATTTTCCTGGTTCTTTCATCTGTACAGTTTCATCCCGAGCAAAGTTTAAGAAGGGGTGATCCATGTAATCAGCACAGCTTGTAATTTTCTACAGCATGTAGGCCTGACCTTTCTCTGATGCTTTGCATATTGTTGCCACCTGTTTTATCCCATTTTGTTAGAGATCATTGTCTTCTTGAGCCCAGGTTTGACACTGCAATGAGTCACCTGCCCTCACTCCCTTGGCCCCTCCCTTGGCTGCTACTCACTCAAAAGGGTCGCTGGGATCTGCCCTCTGGAGCTCTGGAGGGATGGGGATTCTTTTGTAGTACATTTCCCAGTCGAAGGCTCCTCGCATGGCATCCCCAGCTTGTGCCTCATACCCAAAGTGATTGTGGTCAATGACATCGATCATGGGACACACGATGGTTTTGTGGTTTAGTGCAATTTGGTCTGAAAAATGAAAGCACAAAATAGGAAATGACATGCCTGCCTAGGTCATCTATCATTTTTCAGCAAAGAGAAGCCTACAGTCCCCTGCTAATGCATAAGGCTTGCAGCCTTGGCTCCCTGTCATCCTAAGAGCACTTTTCAGGAATCTCTGAATTCTGGACTTAACAGGATGGGACAGTGATTAGGCCCAATTAGAGTTGTTGTATTTTCCTTTAAGAAAGTTATGTCCCAGAGAGACTTGCAGAAGTCCATTTAGCTCTACCTCTGTCACATTTTTGCTCTGACCTGTCCCCAATCTGTCATTTTATCGTGCATCCAACATGCACAGAGTATAAACAGTACTTGTGTTCTTTCAAGCATACTGCTGGAGCCTGCTGAGAAAATACTGGCCTGCTTTCTGGAGGCTCCAAAATGTAAATATTTAACTTCATGGTTTTTGTAGCATCTAATCTCATACCAGTCTTGATGGCTGCACCCCTCTCAGTGCTGACAGATCATACATACAATTTGTTGCTCTCAGGTTTGCCAGAGATTTTTCCAAGTGTTATTTTGCCACTGTTTTTGGAAGTAAACTCTGTTGATCAAAGCTATACATTTTCTTCCCTCTCATATTTGCAAAAGTATGAGGTGATATAATACACTGCAATTACTTCTGCTACTATTAAATTCTTGACAACTACTAAGTGATTTATTCTTATGCTATTCTCATACTCTTAGCAACCCCGTAGGGTAACTATTATTGTCATCCCCAATTTATGTGTGAGGAAGGTGAGATTAGAGAAATTAAATAACTTGTCAAGGGGTGCGCAGCTATTGAGAGCAATAACCAAGATGCAACCTCTGCTTAACAATCCAATTTCAAATCTGACCTTTCGAGTGTTCCACTAGCTTCTCATGATAGCAGAGAGGTGATTTTTTTTTTCAGTTCCAGCACCTTCCTTTCCTATGTGGGTGTGGTTATTGGTATGACATTAACAGCTGGCACAGGGCACTGGAATTTGCATCCTTCGGTTTAGCTAGAATAGCTACCTGTGAGGTATCTTTCTTTCCAAGAATGTGCATTTAGCTAATATTTGTTGTAACAGACCAATGCTGTCTAATAGGCAGAGCTTCTTGCTATTTGGAAAACCTCTGCGTGTGACAGTAAACAAATAAACAGATGTCACTTAGAACAATTGTGAAGTTTGGTTAATTCCATATCATATTTTGTTTCCCGTGAGGTTGTGAGGTAAATGTAATTTGTGTTGGAGATAAAGTTCTTATAGTAAGGAAACTGGCCATTTGCTTCAGAAGTTTCTCTTAAGCATGGGATGAAAAGCATAAGATTTTACTGACTGTGATAATAAATAATGGCTTTATTTTGATGACAATTATGAAACAGGGTATGGAAACCATAACATTCTGGGGAAATATTCTCTTCTAAGTCTATGTGCCTTTCCATCGATTCATACAACTGTCCCTCCATCCATCCATCCATCCATCCATCCATCCATCCATCCATCCATCCCATCATTCTTTTCATATTTCAACAATTATTTATTGATTAGAAACTATGGGCCAGTCACTTTTTCTAGGTTTCTGGGGATACCATGATGAATAACATCACAAAATTTCTGTCTTTAAGAATGAAGCAAAGACAATAAACATAATAAATAACTACATTGCATAGTGTTTTAAAAGGTGATACATGAGATGGAAAAAAATAAAACAGGGCAAGGAGAATGCAGGACACTGGAGTGGAAAGGGTTGCGATTTTGGAGCATGACCCTGGTAAGCCACAGAGAGCTAGAGGTGGCACTTGCCTTACTTTAGTTTAATTAGCAGATGAAGAGACTCCCCCCAGCACCATTTCTAGTTAATCTCCACCGAGGGATGGCTAAGCATCTGTTTTTTCACCAGGGCAAGCCTTACAATGGGTTTTACTTAATGGTATTCCCCCCAGAGATGTCTTTGACAGAGGAGACTATCATTGCTGGGTCCAGAATATTTTTTTCTCTCATCCCTGCAGGTATTTTAATATTAAGGTTTCAGTGACTTTCTTCAATCAAATTCAGAATCAGGTTGATTTACAAGTTCCTTGACCATCAAGGAGTCCCAAGGTGACCCAAAGAAAATGTGTCTGTTAAATTAACTGTCAACTTTTCCTTCAAATTTCCTTTTCACTCTCATCCAGCTGTACTAGCTTAGGTTGAAAGCAGTATGACTAATTTTTCATCCACGGCTTGTGCCTACATTTCAATTTCCAGGGATCAAACAAACAGACTTAATGGGAAATTGAAATTCAGGTATAATCCCAAGGTGAAAAATGAGCCAAGAAACTGTGTGGCTCTGCCTGTTTTTTCATTTTGGATGATGTGTCAAGACACTGATAGAGGGAAATAAAAAAAGATAGTGATCCTGAGCTTGAATCATTTCTTATCCATCAGGACTACAGGAAATGAGATACTTTAATGAGAAAATTTGGGTTGTGGGTTTCTCTTATTCTTTTTTCCTTTTTTCTATCTTCTTTTTAGTTAGATTCATAGTGAACAATCAGAGACTCAATAATTGTCATTTAGGGATTTGCTTTGGTTCATAAATAAATTAGGCCTTTGCTGACTTCCCTGAGTATTCAATACCACATAGGTCAAATTCTGTTCGAGGGAATCTCACTGTTGCTGATGAATTGCTATGTCCTTGGACAAGGTATTTTTAATTAAAGGCTCAGAGGAGTCTCTGACTGTAGGGGTGCTTAAACATCGCGGTTTATTAGGATGGCCGGGTGTAGTCGTCTGTGCAGGGGTGTGTGGTTGGGCAATGTGGCAGGGGGTGTTGGGTGCCGGTTGTTTCTTGTTTTAAATCCTATACAGTTGCAATTGATTTTTTCCTCACATCTTTTACTAATGGAGCTTTGCTGGTTCTTGCTGAAAACCTACACAGTAGTCAATAGCAAATTGTTCTTTCTGATACAGCTATTGTGAAGGCAGTTGCTAGTGACTTCAGTTCCAAGGCCAGGGATATTTTTACAATAAAAGTTGATTTAGCAAAGTCGGAAACGAGAACACTATGTGTGCACCAAGAGATTTTTAGAAAGAGGGTTTTATTTTTTTTTAAGCTGACAATTTATTTCTTATCTACAACTGGACTTCATATTTGACTTTATTTTAAAATAAAAATAATGAAGCCTGAACGGAACCACACATATGTTTTCTAGCTTAAATTACTTTCAGTTCTTTTGTATTTCTAACAGTTCAAGTGTGTTATGACATAATCTTCTTTCCCTAGGCTTAGCCATGTTGTGAGCATTTAAGACATAGCACCTGGACAGCAGCGGTTTATGTAAATACAGGGAACTGTCTATTTAGGGATATAGGCTGGTGCCAGAAGTGGAAAGAATAACAGAAAAGAAATGGCATTATAAATCCTAGAAAATGTCAAGGTGCTTACACTTTAACTGTATTCTGGGGATGAATAATTTTCCTTCCTCCTTTCTTAACAATTCTGTAATACTTGTGTGTGTGTGTGTGTTTTAATCGCACTGTAGTTACAGAAGGACTATAAAAGAGTTTTGGGATACTTTTTTCCTCTTAGTGTTCACCCAATCTGACCACAATAAAGGAGGATATCTAAGATAAATAAAGTTTTTTTAAATCTGTAAGTTACATTGAAGTTGGTATTATCTAAAATGCCAATTTTGTGGCATTACCTAGAATATTGTCTAGGACAGTTACTTGGAAAACTGTCCTCAGCCGTGGTAAAATGTAGAATTCAAGGCTCTATTGGAAAACTTGTAGGAGGGACCTCTAGCGTTTGCTGATTGCAAACTAAATAGAGGCAAACCGCGCACTGCCCCTGAGGCATCTCAGGATGGTGCCGCTGCGGCCTGTACTCACTGAGGAGCGGGGGCAGCCAGTTCACGTTGACCTCGCAGTGGGAGTCCAGGAATGTCAGGACTTCTCCTCTGGCCATCGATGCCCCCAGGAGTCGGGTTCGGATGAGTCCTTCTCTTTTCTTGGTGCGAACAATCCTCACTTTGGAAAACCGGGCCATGTATTCTTCCAACTTACCCTTCAAATGTTCTAAGTGGGAAGTAGAGAACACACAGGAAAAAAACACAAAACATTAGTTGCAGCTGAATTATTCATGGTTGTTTGTGCATCGAGGGTATGTGACTGATGAATCCTGGGGTAACATTTTAAAAGTCTATGGTTCTTATCTTCTTATCTAGATGGGAGATACTAATAAGATTTTTAGATCTTACACTTTCCAAAATGCCTCATAAACTGTAAATAGTGCCCTTTTTTGAACACAGAAGTCACAGACACACCAGAGCTCCGTTATGCAGTTACTGCTGGCTGACAGCCCTGGAGTGTAATCCTAGCCAGTACTCCAAATATGGGCTTCTGCCATCTGGTTCCTGCTGGGTAAAGTCATATGAAAATCCTGGAAATGGGCTCTTTCCAACCAAAGGGCTCTTTACAGCAAGGCTTTGCTCCTTAATTTGTGTGTTGAAAATAATGCATGTAGGCCGGGTGCGGTGGCTCACACCTGTAATCCCAGCACTTTAGGAGGCCAAGGTGGGCAGATCACGAGGTCAGGAGTTCAAGACCAGCCTTACCAACATGGTGAAACCCCATCTCTACTAAAAATACAGAAATTAGCTGGGAGTGGTGGTGCACGCCTGTAATCCCAGCTACTCAGGTGGCTGAGGCAGGAGAATTGCCTGAACCTGGGAGGCGGAGGTTGCAGTGAGCCAAGATTATGCCACCGCACTCCAACCTGGGCAACAAAGTGAGATTTTGTCTCAAAAATAAATAAGTAAAAATTAAAGCAAGAAAGAAAATAATGCATATAAAACATCAGGAAAGAAAAATATCTGTCATATCAACAAGAACAAAGCAGATTCCCCGACCTCCCCTCCACCCCCACCACAAGTTAATAGCAAACTAGTAAGCAAGTTCAGCCTCTGGCTTCTGATTTGAAGTGGAAAGGTGACTGACTGCAGTTGAAATACTAGACAGTCATTTGGAACTTACCTGTTAAAGATTTGGAAATATATTTTAGCTATTTAAATTTGGAAATGTGTCTTGCCCAATTAAAAGCAAATAGTGGAAACAAAATCAAATCAGATAATTTATTCCCAGAATAAAATATTTCCCACTGTCTGCGACAAAATGTATCAAACTCTCAGTTCTTATTATGTCAAATAAGAGCATTTGCTGCCTTTCTGTGGGTTATGTACTTATATATTTTATATCCTCCGCTTTCACTCTGCCATATCTAAGACATTATGAGGGCTTTATTGGAATCTCTGACAGGTATAGTCTAATATTCATTGAAATGAAATCTTAGTATCCTGTATGCTCTGTATTTTTCACTTTTCAAACTTTCTCTGCATGTTTGTGATCAAAGGCAATATTATCAAATCTCTTTCCATGATCTGTAGCAATAGGGATTCATGTAGGATTTGTGATTCCTTCCTGCTATCCAATGTAACAGATGTCAGAATTACTCTGTATTGGAGTTTCTCTGTGCATAGAGGTTCATTTTCACTCATTATTATTAGTGTAGTTTTATAAAATCTTAACTTCCCTTTTTATTGACTGTTCTGTTTCACAAATGGGTCAATGAAAACAATATTTATCTTTCTAATATTCACTATAAGAGAACACAGTGGGGCTGGGGATGGTGGCTCATGCCTGTAATCCCAGCACTTTTGAGAGGCTGAGGCTGGCAGATCACCCGAGGTCAGGAGTTCAAGACCAGCTTGACTAACATAGTAAAGCCCAATCTCTACCAAAAATACAACAATTAGTCAGGTGTGGGGGTGGGAACCTGTAATACCAGATACTTGGGAGGCTGAGGCAGGAAACTGCTTGAACCCAGGAGGTGGAGGTTGCAGTGAGCCAAGATCGAACCACTGCACTCCAGCCTGGAAAATAGAGTGAGACTGTGTCTCAAGAAAAAAAAAAATAACAGATGTGATTTTCCATGAGAGTGTTTTAGCTCAAAATATGTTCCCCCTATTTTGTTCTTAATGTAAGTAACAGGGATACGAAGATCAGACTTGGAAAAGCAAACTATTTTCCACAGTTGCAATCAGAGTAGGCTTGGGAGGAAGGTCTGCAGTGGTGATACATATGAGCAGGTCATGCAAACTCTCGAGGCCTGAATAGCCTCACTTATAAAGGATTTGGGGGATTGTTTTTCCCTCCTAGAATGTGTTTGACAGTCAAGCTTTGATTTAGGCTTGAGTGAGATTGGTCAGTGTTCAGTCAACAAACATTTATATTAACCCAATAATTGAAGACTAGTAAGTCACTTTTATGTATGAAGAAAAACAGCATTTTTACCTGAAGAAATGCCTTTGAATGCTGAGCTCGAATGACAAAAAATTTAGAATTTTCTTTTTCCTGATGAGATTCTGATAATTCTTCATTTCGTATCTCTTGCAAATTAAAGAAAAAAGTTTTGGGAAGCCACAGACTAACAAATATGAGTATATAAGCAGTATCGTGCTAGCTCAACCAAGAGACAGGTTCTACTGTGTGCCTCTCTGCTCATGCCTCTCTGCTCAGTGCTCCCCAACATGACAGCCTCCCAGCTCAACTGTGTGCAAGCTGCAAAGAAAGCTTCTAAGGCCTAAACAAACACAGTGCCTGTGTGTAAACTTGCAGCTTTACTATCTTAGGGAATTAAAGAAGACACAAGTGACACCACTGCACAATCAAAGACAATGACTAAGTGATGAGTGATCAATACAAGGATGCCGTTGTGTGTCAGTGTCTTGAATGGGCCTTGTTCTGTCAGGATTTCCCACAGTAATAAATGTTTAAGAAAACTGTATAATCTCATTACCGTAATTTACTTAGTCATTGAAATCTTTCCGTATCATCAAATTACAAAGAAGTGGCATTCTGTATGTCTCTTTGTAAATCTGTTGTTTGGACCACAGAAGATGCTGTCTCATGGAAATAATGTCCCAACAGTAACTGGGGACTACACACAGATCACCAATGCTTGTTAGGCCCACTAAAATATGTTTTTCCCATTCACTATTCATTGTCAAATGCCACACTATAAGTACATCTCAGCAGTCCAAGATGCATTTACATTTTTCCTCCCTAGCACTAAGAGGGCCTCTTTTGGGATTAATGAGTAATTTCCCATAGTTCCATTACAGAATAGTTGTTCTAGAATATTCTCACTTCCAAAGTCTTGAAAAGTGAGAGTCAAAGGGTTAAGTGACCTGAGAATAGTTGTCCCAACTTTGGATTTAGACTTCTGTATTCTTTGGTTTATAGGAAATCCTCTAGAACTCAGCGAGGACTGTCTCTACATGTTTTTATTTCTCTGTACACATTTTCTGACACTGAATATTTTTCTTATATTAAAGCCCATTTAAATTTGCTAAAAAGATTGTATAGTGTGAATTCACTAAGTATAAGGAAATTGACCCCTCAGTAGTGTCCATTAGATGTTTAGATCAATTCTTCTAGTTTGAATTTTATGGTGATAATTAGCTTGCTCTGCCTCAGATAACGATCAGGTTGACTGCACTTTGAGGGGTCCTTTCTTTCTTTGTAGTTCATTGTAATATCTAATTACCTATAACTCACAATAAAGGCAGGTATCCTCAGTCTAATTAGCAAATTAAACTCTCATACAAGGGAGTTACTGAAGATGGTAGAGATGGCTTTAAATTAAAAACATTTTGCCTTTCTTTGGTATGAACAGGCTTTAGATTCATTTATAAAATGTTATTAACATGGTTTTAAACACAATTTTCTATTATTTTAATTGAAGTATTGCATTTTTGAAGATTACTTTTGAACTCCTTTAATTTTAATACTACCAAGGAAATTTATGAGTTTTATGTATAAACCAGGGAGATCTGCTTAGTGACTTTCAGACATTCGCAAAACTGTTTATAATATTTTTGGTCAGTGGTCCTAGGCAACCAGTGAATAATTACTGTTAAAATCCACTGAGCTCCAGTAAATCCTGATGACCTGGAAAAATGAATACAACTTCAAAAATAGCAGTTTTTGCCAGGGCTTATTGTGTCACTGTGAAGCAATGATGAGATAAAAAGTTGTATTCCAATGAAATTTTGACATTATGTTACTGTGAATACCAAATTAAGCAGGTTTGTAGAATGTATTTTCCTCTTTCTTTCAGAGATTTCACTTACGTGTCATACATTTTTACGGAGAATAACCATTCATTAGTGAATTTAGTGTTTAGGGAAACATCTAAACACCAGAAATGTCAACTTTCAACAATTTGCACAGTCAATGGAATCAAAGACTTGAGTCCTAGTCCTGTTGCTGACTGACTGCGTGACTTTGGGTAAGTCCCATCATACCATGTGACCTCAGTTTCCTAAGCTGTAAGATAAAGGGTGTGTGACTGGCTCATCTCAAGAATTCCTTCTAGTTTTCTGATTCTATAATTTACCTTGTGATGTTTTACTTACTGAGGAGATCCACTACTCTCAAATTCTTAGGTTTTTCTTTTAATAGCTTCCCAGTGGTTGGTATATTGGTGGTGGTGGTGTGTGTGTGTGTGTGTGTGTGAGTGTGTGCGTGTGTGTGTATGTTCTTTTGGCTATGTCTCACTTTTGAAAGAGACAAATCACATTAAAGCTAACATGTACCACAGGGTTAGTCAGAAAACAAACTCCAGGGTGCTTCCTTTGGTCACTACGGCACCCATCTCATCTTGTACATTTCACTGTCTATGAGACTGTCACTAATGTCAGAATAATGACTTTGAAGCACTGTACATTCATCAAAGATTTAAATCTGTTCAATAAGTTATGCTTACTATGTCAGAAAAATGCAGTCACAGTTTAGAAAGCTTTGAGGGATTGTTCCCAAGGGGGCTGACAAGCTAGTGACCATCAGTATTAGAGACCCTGGCCAAGGCATTGCTAAGTGGAAAACTCACTAAAGGCCATGCCAACAGCTGCCCAGGCTCAACAGCTGGTATGAAGGCCTAACCACTTGTTGCTTAGTTCTTTCTGTTTCCTTTGAATTTCCTAATTTACATCTCAAAGGGAGAGCAAGAGGGGCCA